GTGAGTCCCTCCCTCCCTCCCTCCCTCCCTCCCTCCCTCTCTTCGGGGGGAGGAGGAGAGAAGGAAGGGGAAAGAGAAGGGGAAAGAAAAAAAAAAAAAAAAAAAAAAGAGAAAAAGAAAGGGGAGGGAGGGGAAGAAAAAAAAGGGAGGGGGAAGAGAGAAAGAGAGGGGAAAGGAAGAAAAGAGGGGAAGAAGAAGGGGGGGGGGGAGGGGAGAAGGGAAAAGAAAGGAAAAAAGAAAGAAAGGAAAAGAAAAGGAGAAGAGGGGGGGGGGGGGGGAGAAGGGGGGAAAGAGGAGGATACTGAGAAGAGATAACGTGAAGCAATAAATAAGGGTGGAGGGGGGGGAGGAAGTGGGCAAGAAAAAAGGACTATAAGGAAGTGGACCGCCTGCTAAACAAACAGTGCCTGACAGAAGCAGTGGTGAGGGGGCGGCCAGGGGCCTTTTGCAAGAAGCATTCTCTCCTGACGTTCCGCCTGCACCCGTGGCATGCCTCCTCAGAGGTTGTGAGGTTGGTCTGCCTTTTGCAAGACCGCTCCCGCTTCCAGAGAGCCCAGTGACTCCCAGTGCGACTGGCCCAAGCCTGGCACGCAGGCAGGACGAGACTGGAGGAGTTTGGAGGGACCTGGCCTTGGAGTTAGGGAGTTGTAGTCCACCCTAGACCCCTCCGAGCCCACCCGGCGGTGGATGTGGACCCAGCAAGGCACAGAGACCCATCTTGGGTGAATGGTTGTTGATGGATTGTCGACGGCTTTCCTGGCTGGAATCACTGGGTTCTTGTAGTTTTTTTCGGGCTCTCTGGCCATGTTCTAGAGGCATTCTCTCCTGACGTTTCGCCTGCATCTATGGCAAGCATCCTCCGAGTTAGTGAGGAATGCCTCTAGAACATGGCCATATAACCCAAGCGTTGGGGGTGGGCACGGGGGAACTCAACCAGGGGGTCTGGGAGCTGGAGGGGAACACAATGGAATACTTGCTGTGCGAGCCACCATCCCCAATCGCAACATCCCGGAGAGGAGAGAAGTGTAAGGCAGGAGGGAGTGGAGTTGCGCTCTTGTCGGTGCCTGGGGTAGAGGGAGGTGAGGAGTGGATCCGGCTAGCCGCGACTCTCCTCTTCACTCACCAGGCGGTGAACAAGGCGTAAGGGAAGGAGTCCCTCCCCCCTCCCCCTCCCTCCCTCTCCCTTCGGTTTGCTTGGGGATGGGTGCGTGCACAAGGGCCAGGTGGGTGAACTACAACTCCCAGACCCCTGGGTTGAGTTTCCCCCCAACGCTTTCGGGCTCTCTGGCCATGTTCTAGAGGCATTCTCTCCTGACGTTTCGCCTCCGTCGATGCCCCAAAGGCCCCCCCCCCCGCCCCCCCCCCCCCCCGTCCCCCCCCCCCCCGCTCCCCCACAAAGATGACTTTTCAGGTCAGTCTTTGTAGCTATTAAACACAGCCCCCCTCCCCCACAATCCATGTGTTGTCTGTGTGCAAGGTCCAGATAAATGTTCTAGAGGCATTCTCTCCTTACGTTTCGCCTCCCGGAGGATGCTTGCCATAGATGCAGGCGAAACGTCAGGAGAGAATGCCTCTAGAACATGGCCAGAGAGCCCGAAAAAAACTACAAGAACCCAGTGATTCCAGCCAGGAAAGCCGTCGACAATCCATCAACAACCATTCACCCAAGATGGGTCTCTGTGCCTTGCTGGGTCCACATCCACCGCCGGGTGGGCTCGGAGGGGTCTAGGGTGGACTACAACTCCCTAACTCCAAGGCCAGGTCCCTCCAAACTCCTCCAGTCTCGTCCTGCCTGCGTGCCAGGCTTGGGCCAGTCGCACTGGGAGTCACTGGGCTCTCTGGAAGCGGGAGCGGTCTTGCAAAAGGCAGACCAACCTCACAACCTCTGAGGAGGCATGCCACGGGTGCAGGCGGAACGTCAGGAGAGAATGCTTCTTGCAAAAGGCAGACCAACCTCACAACCTCTGAGGAGGCATGCCACGGGTGCAGGCGGAACGTCAGGAGAGAATGCTTCTTGCAAAAGGCAGACCAACCTCACAACCTCTGAGGAGGCATGCCACGGGTGCAGGCGGAACGTCAGGAGAGAATGCTTCTTGCAAAAGGCAGACCAACCTCACAACCTCTGAGGAGGCATGCCACAGGTGCAGGCGGAACGTCAGGAGAGAATGCTTCTTGCAAAAGGCAGACCAACCTCACAACCTCTGAGGAGGCATGCCACGGGTGCAGGCGGAACGTCAGGAGAGAATGCTTCTTGCAAAAGGCAGACCAACCTCACAACCTCTGAGGAGGCATGCCACAGGTGCAGGCGGAACGTCAGGAGAGAATGCTTCTTGCAAAAGGCAGACCAACCTCACAACCTCTGAGGAGGCATGCCACGGGTGCAGGCGGAACGTCAGGAGAGAATGCTTCTTGCAAAAGGCAGACCAACCTCACAACCTCTGAGGAGGCATGCCACGGGTGCAGGCGGAACGTCAGGAGAGAATGCTTCTTGCAAAAGGCAGACCAACCTCACAACCTCTGAGGAGGCATGCCACAGGTGCAGGCGAAGCGTCAGGAGAGAATGCTTCTAGAACAACCTACCACAACCCAGTGATTCCAGCCATGGAAGCCTTCAGCAATACATCAGGCAAACATAGACAGAAACATATATAGAAACCTGGGCGTCCCTGGGCTCTCTGGACAGGCGAGCCGTCTTGGGAAAGGCCTCCAAACAGAGGCAGAAACATAGGCACAAACCTGTCTGTATCAATAAACACGTCATGTTTGTTTGTGGGGTGGACACAACTCAAAACCCAGTGGGCAAATGGACACCAAGTGTGGACACAAGGCACCCCTCAGGCCAGGGAGTGACCACCACTCAGAAAATCACTGGGAAACACAGCGGAAAGGACTTAAGAAACTAAAAACTAAAATTACATTACAACGTATGTGCAAAACCACACATACACATATATATGCATACACATACACACACAAAGCACATACACACAGACTGGGCCACAGCAATGCATGGCAGGGAGTGGCTAGTTTATTCTCTAGGCCAACTTCGGCCCTCCCTCCCTCCCTCCCTCCCTCCCTCCCTGACCCATGCCCTTTCACTTCCATCTCAAAAAACCCCTCGCCCTCTCTTCACGTCTTTCCGTCCCCTCCTCTTCCCCCCCCCCTCCTCTCCACGTCACCACCTACGCCTCATGCCCGCCCTCTCGCCGCCCACCTCCGCTCCACAATCAGTCTCTGGTCCTCATTTCTTGCCACCTCCTTCCCCTCCCCTCCCGCTCCCTCCGACTCCAGGTCGTATCTTGGAGAGCTATTTACTCAGGAAGCCCCCTCGCCAACTCACACCTCCCGACCCACCGCGCCCCCCTCACGTCACGGCCCCCATCTTTTCCCACGCGTCACCATTAGTCAGTCCCAACTAGGCGCCCCTTCCTGGTAAGATTGGTAGTTGCCAAAAACAAAAACAGGGAACTACCAGGAGGGAGGGAGGGCAGCGCGCGGAGGGCACAAGTCGGGCACGCTCAACGCTGTGTGGTGAAAATCACCCAACACAGGTAAAGAGGGGTAAGAACTCCGAAAAGCCCGTCTCTAGGTCGCCATACCGTCCAGGGTTCCCCCCCCCCTTCTGTCAAACGGGCTGGGGGAGGTCAACACTTCCCGGAGAGCAAGACCCCGACAAGATGGCCATCCAGTCCTATCTGGTTTAAAAAGAAAGAAACAACTTCAAAGAAGCGGTCAGCTTTGAACTGGACTCTAAAGGCAGATAGTTCCACAGTGGCCAAAAAAGTGAACCGACATGGTCACGAGGACTTCTCAGACTTCTCAAGAACCAAAACACACCGTCCTGAAACACTCCAGTTTCCCCCCCTCGTTGACGTTTTTACAGTGCTGACCCCCATATACCTAACTATTATTTTTGTGCGGCTGGGCCAGGCTACCCCTGACTCTCCTCGTGCCATCATATTTTTGTGGCTACTTCAGAACGGCCATCTCGCTCCTGTCATGAATCGTCACGTCAGTATTTGATCTGCAGGATGTATTTTCTTTAACTGGACCAAATGTCCTCTTCTCTTTCCGAGGCAGAAAGTGAAGGAAAGACCCGATATGCTCAAATTTGAATACTTGGGGGGGGGGGGGTTGATTTTGTCATTTGGGAGTTGTAGTTGCTGGGATTTATATTTCACCTACAATCCAAGAGCATTCTGAGCTCCACCAACGATGGAATTGAGCCAAACTTGGCACACAGAACTCCCACAATGAACAGAAAATACTGGAAGGGTTTGGTGGGCATTGACCTTGTGTTTGGGAGTTGTAGTTCACCTACATCCAGAGAGCACTGTGGACACAAACAATGGTGGATCTGGACCAAACTTGGCACGAATACTCAATATGCTAGTTCACCTAGATCCAGAGATCACTGTGGACTCAAACAATGATGGATCTGGACCAAAGTGTACACAGATATTCCTCTCTAATTTCCTATAGAGAGCTTCCGCTTCCTTGTAGAAGACTTCCTCAGCCAGTTTCGACCTTAACAAAGTCTTCTTCAGGTGGGAAATTACTAATTTTTGCAAAATAAACTGGCGAAGGAATGGATTCTGAATAGCAAGTATATTCACTTATGTCAAACCTATTTCTACAAGGAAGCGGAAGCTCTCCATAGGAAATTATAGAGGAATATCTGTGCACAGAAACTTTTTTAAAAATTCCTTTCTCGATTTTGTCATTTGGGAGTTGTCGTTGCTGGGATTTATAGTTCACCTCCAATCAAAGAGCATTCTGAACTCTACCAATGATGGAATTGAACCAAAGGTGATACACAAGACTCCATAACCAACAGAAAATACAGAAAGGTTTGGTGGGCATTGACCTTGAGTTTTGGAGTTGTAGTTCACCTACATTCAGAGATCATTGTGGACTCAAACAATGATGGATCGGGATCAAACTTGGCACAAATACTCAATATGCCCAAATTTGAACACTGGTGGAGTTTGGGGGAAATA